TAAATAATTTGCTTGTGGCAGTGACGATTTTGAAAAAAATCGTTAATTTTCGCCCCCTCGGTACCGTTCGGCTAAATTGTTTTCATTGATAACATTACTCAAGACCATTCGATATCACAGATTTGTGGACTGTTCAAAAAAGTTAGGAAACCAAAGATGGTCTTTTCGAACGTAGTATTCCACACCAACTCATATTCTGTGTTGTTTTTGATTGTTGAATTTCAGGATGCTGCGAATACGATTCTGAATTTGATCCGTCAAAATAAGGTTCCGGCATCGTTCAGAGCAAGTGCAGAAGGATACATCAGTCGAGCTGAGTATCTCAAAGTTCAGCGTAAGTGGTTCTTCATTACGTATCTGTTAATTAGTCATAGAGTCTCACCGATTTGCTTTAAATCCCTTGTTATTGTTTGAGAAATGTTTCTCAAATTTCAGTCAACTGTTACGTTATTCGCACCACTTTTGATTTCAGCTCGAATCACACCATTTCCCATAATAACACTCACGTAAAATTGATATACGAACGGAGATGTGAGCATTTAGTTTGATAAAATTAATTAAGGCACGTCGATGGTGTGTAAAAATATCAAAGATGAGCATCAGAATAATTTGGAACGTTCTGAATTCCTTCTCTATCAAGCGTTAGACGCCGATCAAGCGGGTAACGCATCTGACGCCATTACTCTGTACTCTGAGGCCATTCAACTTTGCTTAAAATCGGTATTTAGTTTGTTTCTGAAGTGTTATATTTTTTTNTTTTTTTAACGAGCTAGGGGTGGTCACTCTGTGCGAACTGGAGAAATCTTCCGGCCGTTTTCTAATAAGGAATTCAACAACAACTTCACTCTCGAAACAGCTCAAAAGCGTTTTTTTCTCAGACGATAACGCAATTTGTGGAAATACATTTGATACTGAAGTGTAGGTGGTGGTCGATTGTATGCATTACTGATTTTTAGGCGGCTACATGTGGCCCTGAAATGCAGAAAAAGTTACGAGATTTAGCGAAAAGAGCTCTTGATCGTGCGGAAATTCTCAAGGGACACAGCAGTAAAGAGCAATCAACTGAACACATCGGTCTACCTGAAGTGCCAACCGATGGTATTCATTGATAATAACTGATTGTTTCATTGTCTTCTAATAAAGATAGTCAGATCATTTATATTTGACCAGTGACTGTATTAGAAATTCAGTGACACAATATTAATCGTAAGCTATTCCATCTTAACATCTTGCTATAGAGGAACTATTTTAGAATAGAAGAGAACTGACTATGAATAGAAGGAAACTATTTTCGCTAGTGATACTTTATAAAAATATATGGTTGCAATCGCCCACTTCTAATATCTTGCTCAGTTTCGCAAGATGGAGTGAGTATCACTTCGATGAGTATAATAATATGAAGTAACATCACTAGTGATTGGTACTGCTTCTCTAATTGCTGTTACAATTGAAGAGCTGTCGCACTTGAAACTTGACGATCGGAGTGGAAAAGGGTCGCGTTCGGCTGGTTCCACCCCAACAAAGGTAAGTAAGGTCATAACCACCGACGGTGAAGATGATGGACGTCTCGGAAAAGATGAACTTGCTGTGTTGGCTGTTACGTCGAACATCAACTCACGACAATACGTACCATTTTTAGCGGTTGATCTCAAGGAACGCTTCGCTTATCCTGTACCGTTTACGTGCGTTTATTGTGTTTCGGTTTTGATATTTTTTATTTGATTTTTTTTTAAATTCTGTTGCTTGCGTCTAGATTTCATCGCTTCTTCAGTCAACTTCAGATTCGTTATCTTAAATTTTTTTAGTTCAAAATTTGCACGGAATTTCGTATAAATGTTTGATTTGTAGATTTTTTTGAACATAATTGCGGAACAGTTTTATCCAACTATACGTAGTGATTCAGCAGTGGATTATTTTGTTTTGTTTTGTTTTTTCAAAAAAATTATATTACGTATAAATTCGATTGATAGTATGAGAGGTATTGTAAACATTTGCAGTGATCATCATGGACTGCTCGTATTGGCTGCTAAACAAAAGCAGCGTTTAAGTAAATGGTTAAGACCAAACGAAATCATGCAGTCACCAACAATTATTCAAAACATTGATAGTGGTACTATCAAACAGGTTTGTTTCATAAGCTTCATGTTGCTTATTGACAGTTGCAATTATTCGCGAATTCATCAGTTTTGTGTGATACTTGTGTAGAGTGGATTCTTTTTGACTGAAGTGGAGATATTGGCTTCGTTAATCTCATCCGTTTCAGACAATTGTTTCGGACTGCTCCTTTATCGCTTCGCTTTCCATATCAGCCAGATATGAGAAACGATTCGGAAAACGTTTGGTGACGAGGTGATCCGTCGTTGTTTTTATTGGTTCTTTATCACATTGTTATCGTTCGTCGTTTCGGTGCGATTATATACTAACCGATCATTGATATTATCTGTTCCATTAATAAGCATTCAATTCTCCTTTTCTGTCTCATTATAAGTTGTGAAAATTTTATTTTGCAACGCTTTCATGAAATGAGTATATCATCCAAAATTCATTTCATTTCAAATTTTTAAAATTCGATTAATAAAAGTTTCAGTATTATCTTCCCACAAAATAAACGCGGTGAACCAATTTATAATCCTTGTGGTAAATACATGATCAAGTTGCACATCAATGGAGTTTGGCGAAAGGTATTTGTAACGAGTATTATAAGGATTGATAAAGTTATTGCAGAGTTTTTAATTGATGTCACTTGTAAGAGGAGTTTTTTGGCGCTTTAAAAACGGTCATATGGATGTTTGTTTCAGGTAATCATTGATGATTTGTTCCCAATTGGCGAACACGGTGACTTTCTGTGTTCATACAGTCAAAACAAGT